GGCGCATGCCTGAGCGGTTAAAGGGTATGATTAGAAATCATATGGTGTCCCACCTCCAAGGTTCGAGTCCTTGTGCGCCAATTTTTTTAATAATGTTGATTTAGGCTAAAAACTACACTAATCACGCCTTTGTAGGTCTCTTCGAACCGATTTCAATATCTCGTCTCCCCTCGTAATATTTGTGTGGTCTGAGAAGCATCCAAGCCCTTGCAATTTTCGGGCACACAGTGCAAGGGGTCAAGAAACAGTGCAAACGCTCAATCCTTCCCAAGAGATGGAGAAACAGTGCAAACTCTCATCCTTCCCAAGGGGGTTGCAAAAATTGTGCAGTAAGAGTACACACCAAAAAGAGAATGGATTAAATATATGTTCGTTGTTTGGTTTAAATATTTATTAAAGATGTTAAGGCTACTTGAACCATGTCGATAGGGGGCTTTTTATCGATTATGTATGGCTCGCACGCCTCTAGGCCAACAATCTCTGGATTACTCGTGAAACGGTAAGTGTAGCAAGGTATACCTTCGTTTTCTTGCCGCGAGGACTTCTCCTGTGGGTCTCGCTGTCTGTAGGCGGAAGATGCCATGGTATTGCCACTGTGGTTTCGCATCGGCAGTCTGGTTTCATGTATACATAAGCGTACCAGCATGTCTTCTTCCACCACTGTTGCGAATGACAACGTACATCGCATGGTAGTGCGTGTCGATTTAGAATCAATAATTTCTGAAACGACCCCATCATCACTGTTATTAGCCTTGTCTATATATTTGCCGAGCTCGTTACCGGTGTCTGTGGCATTGACAGCACGTACATCTCCGGCGGAAATACTAGTAGCACTGAGCACTGCAGAATTTCCCTTTTGTTGCCCATCTTGTAGCATCTCCTCATCGACTTTCCACTCTATATCGTCAAAAATCCGTGGCAAGGTGGCTGTGGAATAGTAGAGTAATTGCACATGTGTAAAGGTCTCTTGAAATGTACTGGCGATTTATGCTAACATTTAATATATATTTTTGCACCGAAATAACCTGTATACAATGCCGTGCGCGAGGTATTCTTAAAGTGGTTCAACATCGTGTTCGCTAGTGCTTCCTTCGAGATGATATACAAGTTCATTGAAATCGATATATAAACACGTGTGCACATTCGTATTTCATAAGGTTATCACGTATCCCGCGCTGTCAAGTACAGTGCTGGTGATCCAGACCCAGGATAATTCCGCTGATACCACTGTGGTACTTTCAGACTAAATTTACGTATTTGCGATGTGTATATAAAACATACACACCAACAAACAAACATACTGTCAGTTGCGGAAATATCTCTAATGCTGCTGTAGAAATGGCTCAAGGGAGATACAACAGGCAACCTTACATAGGCCTGCTCAGCAATGTTAGCACACACAGATCTCATAGAGGCCTGCTCTATCGCTCTCTGTAGTTGCGCGTTCGATGCAATCAAACCCCGTTTTCGCTCAAACAACTTGCGCACATTTTGGTAGGAAGGTCCATGGCGAGCTTCTGCAGTGCGCTTCGGGAGCTTCGGGAGTCGTTTGCATTCACTCTCCAGGATCCGCTTTCGACGACGGAGTTGAATACTTTCCTCGTTCAGCTTATGTAGGTATTAGGATACACAAAGTATAAATTGTATCGAACAAGTGAGGAAAAGAGACGCACATAAATCGTCATATACAGGAAAGTGGGTCTTTCGACAACTCTCAATGCGATAGGGTGTGATTAGACTTCGCGCTTTTGAATTGAAGAAGTAATCAATGCAGGTAAAGTCTGTAAGGTAATGCGTAACAGCCGATTGGATGAGTTAACACTAGACGAACACAGCGTATGGCTGACAACAAAATAGTTCTATTTGATATATGAGTAAGTCATGCGAAACTTGTGAAAGGTGAATGGAAAAATAGTGATTGCAATTAATAGATTTCAATCACTTGTGTGAGGCTAAAATAGCGTAGTTATCGAAACTCACAATTATAAACGCATAACTATAAACTCACAGATATATAATTGAACATATACTATATAAATACTAAAGTACACACACACACACACACACACACGTATATACATGGTCCTATAGTTGTATGGTAATTCTTCTATATTTCTTCTATATTTTTCGGTATATGTATAAACAGAAAAAACTGAATACACAAAAAAATACAAGCATACATATATATATAGGTGAACGTAGACATACGTATGCACACACAGAAACACATACACACACAAGCATACATATACATACATACATAAGTATATGCATGCATACATACATACATAAACGTGTACACACACATACACAAATACATGCACACACACACGTATGCACACAAACCCGCACACACACACACGTATACACACAAACCCCCCCAACCCCCCACCCACCCAACCACACACACACATGTATATATATATACTATACATACATACATACAACATATATACATACATACATACATACATACATGCATACGTACGTACTTACATCCATACATATATGTATACATATATACATACGTACATACATACAGACATACATACATACAGACATACATACATACATACATACATACATACATATATAAATACATACATACATACATAAATAAATACATAAATACCCCCACACACACATACATAAATCTTTACATACATATAGCATATCCACACGCAAAATTGCTACATCTGCAGTTGTAAGAAAATTTCACATACCTGCTGCAGTGTTTCACGTAGTCGAGTGATCTCGTCCGACATCAGGAAAGTAAATTCACGTGGAAGAGCGCCTCACAGGTATTGAAACACGTTGACCGCGCTGCGATTGTGAGTGTAGCAGGATAAGCTCAAGAAGCAGAGAGTCTTGACAGGTTGACAAGCTAGATGTTTAAGTTACTAACATCGCCTCTTTCAACTTTGAACGTCTCTTACGATGGAATCGCTCTAGACACATACATGGTCATTGATGTTCACCTGGCCACAAGTACATATAAACACATACTGATATCAGATTTAGAAACAATATATTTATACATATATATAAATATGAAGGTACATACTGGTAGAGAGGTAAATATATAGTTACTTCCATTACATACATATTTAACCCCGTCAACTAAATCCCCGTGATGAAACTGACCAATGAGGTCGAAGATAGATTTGGCGGGCTCCCCTCAGGAAGTAAACACACGGAAGCTTTATTTTTTGCTGATAACCTCCTCGTTCGTCGAATACTGTTTATTAATATTATTAGGGCCCCAAATAGTATCGTTTAATATCTTATGTATAGTAGCTTCACAATCATAATCACATTGAAGGTGTACACGACATATGTGCCCAATAGCTATATTGATAGTCCGTGTCAATACATACATATGACCGCGTCTACGATAGGAGACATATGAATGATTACGTCAAATATCTGTAGATCGTTGGCCGGACTGTCTCTGGCGCACCGGACTGTCTCTGGCGCACCGGACTGTCTCTGGCGCACCGGACTGTCTCTGGCGCACCGATTGAGTGGTCATACTGAGATATGTGATTTTAGCAGACAATAGATATCGTCAAGTATGGAGGGAGAGGTATGTTTGGAACCCAAAGATCTCTATCTGGTGCTTTGCTATACTTTTGATGTGTAAACCCTATCATACGCCTACATACAGTCCTATATATAAATTATCACTTGTCCGTGTAGAAGATTGCACTTACAGCTTAGTTATACATTCGATGATGTAGTACCACTCACCCGACAGTATATGTCATCGATAGTGATGCCTTATTCATATGCCTTTCAATTTAAAAGATTAATCGAAGAAAGTAGGTTGGTACGAACTAACTGTCCAGAGCCGCATCTCTTTATTTCTTTTAGACATGTGTCCATATGTTCTTATTTAATACCTCACTCCTATGTAATTTAACAACTACGACGTGACAGATAACATCGTGCACCTTGATTATCCTTGACCAATTTAGTCGCTCAATAGGTTTAGTGCCTGTGGTTGAATGTGACCCATTTGATAATAAAACACGGGCATATAAGTAGGCAACAAAACAGCCATTTACGCACATCTATTCCGTATTGAATTTCGGCACATTCCATGTATTCGATCATATGCTATACCACATACACGCACATCTATTCCGTATTGAATTTCGGCACATTCCATGTATTCGATCATATGCTATACCACATACACGCACACACACAAACACACACACACACACACACATATATATGTTTATACAGTACTTCGACGCCGGATATGTCTTCCTGCTCCTGGGCGATACCATCTTCCCCAACAAACGCGACTGCTCACTATGGCTGCTGAACCACCTGGACGAGATAGTCACGCCCTGCCATCCGCATGCGGCCACATACAGCGCATCTCAGCGCATGGAGGTGCTGTCTGTAATACCCAGTCACTACACCCTGGCACACTGTGATATGGCCAGCCAGCCATGTCGTGTGGTTTGTACGACGAAAGTGGTGTTCTTAGCTCGCAGGTAGGCGGGTGGTTATATGTTAGTTTGGCTTGTATGATCAACACGGTTACTACGTGTGGTATGAGGTGTATATCGGTGTATGCATATCTTCCTGGGTTTGTGCACGGCGTTGGTGTGTGTGTATAGGTGTTGTCATAGGCACGTGTTCTCGTTACTGTAGATATGTATCCGCCTATTAGCCAACAAGCTGGCGCAGCCGGATAATAGGCACACTGCGGTGAAACCTATATCGGTATAGCTCTGGGTAGTCCGAGAAAAGGCATAGATAAAAGTGACAGTATTTCATGTATTGTATTCGCGTACATCTGGCCGCGTAATGTATATTGTAAGCACGGCTTTCGGTGTACATGTGCACATTCACACACCCATGAACAGTGTATATGCCAGTGTATATAGTAGCTTGCTGTTCATGGGTTTATCGGCATAAGTGCGACAATGCAGGCAAGAGACCACGAATGGTCTACAGTAGCATTCTCGCGCATCTGTGATGCAAATATTTAAAACACGACCGCATATCCGCAGGCCTATGAAACAACCACACACACATAGGCGCATTATTGGGCACACGCATACTATTGGTGCTGGCAAGCACTACACTTCACACTACATTTCAAGACGTACATTACACACGTATGCGAGATCGCACAACAGGTGGCTTGATTTCGACACAGCAGTACTGTATCAGTATCACTCAGCGGTGTTCTGGAGTGTATAAGCTCTGCTCCAAACACCTTCAGTCTCAGGTTGTTGCCACACACCAATGCCCTCTACAAACTGTGCAAAAAGATAGATTGCTGCTCACAAAATCTAGTTCAGGGGCCACAAGGAACTCACTACCCCTCCAAGTGCCAAACTTAAACAGAGACGCTTGTTTGATGTAACAGCCTTGTTATATGTGTAATATGTCCAGCTCCCAGCCCTGTTCGCCTTTGGTGTGAGGTATTTATTCATATACACACGTGCACGCATAGGTACCGCATCGTGTTTTCGCTCGACACGTCACCGTCTGCGTTTACTATCAACACCTCAGCCGCACACACAGTGGCCGATGACATCAAGTCGGTGCTGAAGCGAAGTCTGTCGGCTCTGCTACGACCGTTCCAGGTAAGCTGCCTGTTTAGCGGTATATATATATATAGCAGTATATAACGTATATAGCGGTATATATATATAACGGTATATAACGTATATAGCGGTATATGACGGCATAAAACGGCAAATAGCAGCATATAGTGGCAATTAACGGAATATAACGATGTACAACGGTCTGTGGTTGTCAGACCCATATATATATATATAAACATTATACATACATACATACATATATATATATATATATATATATATATATATATATAGTAGTTATTATATATATATATACACACACACACACACACACACACACACACA